AATTCCCACTTTCTATCGCTCACTCGTCGACTAAGTTGACGAATTCATGAGAATTCTTAACTGAAACCTTCCACGTATCGGACACGAATGATTTCGATACGCATCGCCTCACACTAAAACCACGAAAGCATTGGTCCAGCAATTCAACCATATTCGTTTTCCGAAATTATGTTTTTCATGTAGGGTTGTTCCTTGGTTTTGCAATATTGATACACCAAATTTGCCAAATAGATCTAAGCGAGTCCTTCAGAGGGCATCCCAGGCTTTAGCTAATATTAGGAAAAAAGAAAAAATTATAAAATTACACTCCTTGCTAAGGAGGAAAACCAGATTATGCCAGTCTTTGGCAAGCAATCCCAGCTTCTAAGACTTCTCTAAATTACAAATAACGTATGATATCTTTTGTCAACAGGTTAGCTACAGATACGATAATAAACTTAGAAATTTTTGTATAGCAATCAAGACAAAAGCTAATCAAAGTATGTCTAGAAGAGACATTAGTGAGCAAAGGATAGTTGGTGATAAAGTGGCCAACCTCTGCAAAACATTATTGGGTGGTACTGCCGAGGAAGTGCTCTCGAAAAGTTTGCAATTTGCTTTGTCAGACAGTGCTTTTATTTGATAGCCACGTAGGAAAAAGAGTGTTAAAAATCTCAAATAAATTAAGTGATGAAGACCAAATGGTATCAAGGGCTGACGAATAAGGAACAGTGGTTGTTATGGGTAAATTGAGTGATTTAGAAAAAATGACTCATACTTTGATGATAATTATTGCAAAAAATGAAGGAATTGTGATACATAAAATATCACATAAAACAACAAATCTCCAAGACGTGGAAGGTTTCAGTTAGGAATTCCTATGAATTCATCAAATTAGTCGACGTGCAGTAGATAGAAAGTGGGGATTTGCTGGTAAGTTTTAATGTTGAGTCCATGCACACTAACATTCCGTCACAGCTCCAATGAAATCCTTCCACGGCTTGCGGTAGAATCAACTTACGAATCCCTTCCACTCGCCACATCAAACAAAATAAATGGTACTCTAACCAGAAATTAATAACTTTTGATATGTTCATCAAATAGCGAATCAAAATGTGCATAAATCTCAGTGCTTTAAGGCAATGTGGAGATATAAATTGGAATTCAGCACAACTAATTGCATAAAAGATGCCTTTGTTATGTGATTTGGGCAATGGCAGGCAAAATCATAGAGATAGACATTACGTCTTCACATAGCCTTTCTTGCCAAAAGGTGACTCTCTTCCATCCTGCATTGCATTTTCGGCCTCTCCATGTCATACCAACACCCTCAGCTGGTCTCGAACCATGACAGCACAGCGCAGCTGTGAAGTAAAGTTGTATTTGCTATAACAATTTACAGCACTACTCATATTCGCTTATGAGTAGGTGCTCAAGACTAGCGATGACCTTGAATATCCATACATATGTTTGGAAATATTTATATGATGTATAACAGAAAAACAGGAATCAGCCGTCGTCTTGTCTTGTGTTTTGGTAAATTATCTTCGAACACGGTGTCCTGATCTGACAATGTCTGCTTCATGACGAGCGAAAGCTATTCAAAGATTCTTTGGTATCGCAGGCTGGAATGCCGAGGACCTCCACAGCTTCCGGTGCAACAAAATTACGAATCCTGTCCACTTGCCTCACACTTTTTACGGATTCTTTGAAAACCAGTTTTCCATATTTGTTGCCTATCTCAGAGCGATGACCTTGAATATCCATACACATGTTTGAAAATATTTATATTCATAGTACTCCATTAGAGCCTATTGAAGATTTTATGGTACTGATAGTCAAGCAAATAACTTCTTTTTCTCTCGAATTTCTTGTAGACCCTTTAGCTCTAGTAAGTTTTTCTGCTCTTTCATCTTCAAACTAATTACAGCATCAATCGTTCTGAAACGGAAAATCGCGACTTTCTTTACTTGACGCTTGGATAACGGCTGAATCGACCAAATACAGCCGCTGCATATTTGCATAGATGCCCAGAGAAAATTGCTTTTTCCTACATCGACTCCAAATGGGTCTACCTCGTCTGTCCTCCTCGCCAATCAGCCCGTCAACGTTACGGTTCCTCCTCCTTATTCGCATATAAACGACTTTTTTCTCATTCTCCTGTAGCCCGAGACTTGTTTTCACACAGAATTATAGGCAAGTAGATAATATAACGGAATTTCAGTCCCAGAATATATTTTCTGTATCAAGCCTACACGGCATCATAAAGTGCTCCTGGACCAAAAGTATTCCATCCTCTTTCTGCGTAGTTGGCATTCCTTCGTTCCAGAGGCACATTAATGAGTCTGAAATCTTATAAAAAAAATGTTCAATGGCTCCAACACTTCCATGTAACGCCCTCTGGCCAAAGTTAGTATATAAATCAATTTAGTTTGGGCCCAGCATCTTATAATCTCATTTCCTACTCAACTATCCTCCACAAAATGACTATGGGATGCTATGATCCTTGCAGCTGGGGTGGTGCCAAGTGAGTTATTTGTAGTCTTAGTTTTCTTGTTAGCAGTTCTGTAGTAAGTAGTATGTTGTACCTGCTAAATATATTAATCAATTTTACAAATCTAATATAGGAATAAAAGTTGGGTTTCGACGACTCTAATGTTTCATCTCAAGTGAAAGTGTTTAGTGAAGAGATTGAAGGCTCAATCTCATCAGAAGACGATGGAGCATTTCTCTGGACCAGCCGTGGATTGGCTTTTATGGATCATTCTTGCTGACGCTGTTTCCGAGGCAATCACATGTATCAAAGATAATTGCCTCGGAAATAGCGTCGACAATAGTCTTCCAGTAAAGCCAATTGGCAACTGGTTGTCTTTTGGTTGAATTCACCTTCGGAATCTACCAAGTAAATGACTCTAGATACACTCCACTAGGTCTCCCTGATGCTCTGAGCAAGTGGTGAAAACGCGGTAAAACGAACACTATGTTGCTAAAAGAGACTATGAATAAATATAGTTCTACACCATCTTGCTCTGTTTATCTACAAAGCTATTTATCATCCTATTGCTAAGGTGCCTCTTTGGAATTCCATCCGAGCCGTAATGTCTTTTATCAAAAACAAAAAGCCAGAGAGTTTCAAGAGTGGGTTATTCTATGAAAAAGGTAGAGCCATCCTACAACCAAGCATTATCATTTGCCATAAAAGACAACACTACTAGTTAGTTGTCATTTTGCTTAAATCTTCATATGATGTTGCCTAGAGACGCTCTAATTAGCCATTACACATTGTAAATAATTATGTTTATTAACTCAATGAAATACTATACTTATAAATTAATAAGATAAAATTATTTAGTCACTTTAAAGGAATTTATTACTTAAATTAATTTTAATAAATTAATTACTTATAATCAATTACTAAGCCTAATTGATTTTATAAGGAGCCTTACTTCTCTTCTAACGTATACATATTAATAATTAAGATAAAATTATTTAGTTACTTTAAAGGAATTCATTACCTAAATTAATTACTCAGAATAAATTACTAAGCCTAATTGATTTTATAAGGAGCTTTACTTCTCTTATAACGTATACTTATTAATTATTAAGATAAATTTATTTAGTTACTTTAAAGGAATTCATTACTTAAATTAATTTTAATAAATTAATTACTTAGAATCAAATAATATGCTTAATTGATTTTATAAGGAGCCTTTCAACTCTTCTAACGTATACTTATTAATTAATAAGATAAATTTATTTAGTTACTTTAAAGGAATTCATTACTTAAATTAATTACTTAGAATAAATTACTAAGCTTAATTGATTTTATAAGGAGCTTTACTTCTTTTATTACGTATACTTATTAATTATTCAGATAAAATTATTTAGTTACTTTAAAGGAATTGATTACTTAAATTAATTTTAATAAATTAATTACTTAAAATCAATTAATATGCTTAATTGATATTATAAAGAGCCTTACTTCTCTTCTAATTTATAAAGAATGGGTTTGATAAAACCTAAATTTTATAAGTCTGCATTGCAACTTGTATGGCAATATATAGTTTATGCATGATTTATCTGAAATGCGATTATAAGAATGAAAATTCAGACTGACTTTATTGATATCTTGCTTACATGCTTTCTTCACATAACACCTTTCAGCTCGTATCCAGGCTACGGATGCTTCGGTACGTATGCCTTTGACTGCGTCAGCCCGAATGGATGTGGCCCAGGCGCATGGGGCTATCCCGGTTGTGGCCCATACCCTTCGAGAGGATACGGCTTGGATGGTTGCGGTTACCGACCGGGCGCTGGAAGCGCCTGTGGACCTCGTCTCTGGAACTGCGGACGATGGCCTTGAGCATTTCTGATTTGGCCGACTTGATTCTCGCAAAAAGCCAAGCCTGCCCGCATTAAATAGCGGCCCACTTTTGGTGCGGACAGCTTGAAACTGTTGAGATGAGAGCTTTACATAATCCTTATGATAGTCTCTTTATTGTTTCTGTTCCATCTTGCTTTTGTGAGACTTCCATGGAGGGCCGAATTATCCTTTAAATGGAAATTATTCAAAAATTAACTAGTAATCGCATTAAAATAAACGGATTTGGTTGATTTGTTGTTTTTTGAAGCTGGAAGATTTACTATCAATTGAAAGAAAATGATATTTGCTAAAATTATTCGGAAAATGCACAGATAGTAACTGTCCATCACTCACTCACTCAAAATCCGGCATATATGATTATTTCGCAATCTTTCCTTCGTTTGTATGCATGATAGACCACATATTTTCAATCTCAAAATATTCATTTAGATACTTTCAAAAAATCGTCCAGAAACGCTTGCACTTTTCAATGCAAAATGTAATTTGGTCTCCATGACAGCCCTGAAATAACGGTGTCTTGAGAAATTCCTTAAAGCAGATACCTGAGCTCACCGGAATACAACGGTTGCTTTGGGTCGTTCTGCAGTTGTTCGCTTAATCTATCCATAAGTAGTAAATACTTTAACTTCGACAGCAAGTTATATTAACAGAAACAAACAGTTGCAATTTGTTCATGCTTAGCTCATATTTTGACGAATAATTAAATGGACAATTTCGAGAAAAGCATGATTAAGGAGGAATTAATGACCATAAAATTGTTAGTTTGAGGTATGAAAAACGTATTTATTACTTAGCAGTATGAAAGGGTAAGTTGAGATAATTTTCCTCTTTTTGCTAAACTGCTTCAAAGTAATATTAAGTTCATAATAGAATTATAAAAGTATGACAAATCATACAGGCGAGAAGTTGGACAAAATTGATGTTACAAGTTTAAAGTAAATAATTATTGAGAGTGTGAGGCTTACCGATAGAAATAAATTGACCAATTCAATAAAAAGAAATAAAATTTGGTATAAGATAAGCTTCAAAAGTTAAACTAAGCTAATACAACTGGCAGGCTCCATTTTCCATGCTATAACTTCCCACGAATAGAAACCTAGTGAAATTATATAGAAAGATTGGAAATTATTTTATTGGTCATTTTATTGTTAATCCAATATTATTATGTTTCAATTTTCTAGAATTATGGAGGCAATGAGTATTGGGGGAATAAAGCTTGCTTATAGGAATTAGTTTACTAAAATTTTATGTTTCTTAGTAATAATTATTTGTTTAGGCTTGATCGAGAATAGCGTCTCTATAAGAAGAAGTACATTTCTGACGTCACGCCCTTTTTCTCAAGAGATAGGCAAGAGTAAACTAATTTTAAAGAATCATTTCTGCAGTTATGTCCTGAGTTGGATAGAAATGCGATTCATAATCAAGATCCAGCTTCTGCTAGATTGCATGTCAGGATAGGCGAATACAAAAATGCATGTAGAGGTGCTTAAGCACAACGGAACAATGAGACAGAAGATGAAAAAGTCTGAACCGCATCCGTTTGTAGATCATGGCATAAGCCAATGTATGAAATGGAGATATGAATATAGGCAAAAACATGCAATACTTGAGTTGTAGAGTTAAAGAGAGAGAAGGAAAAAGAATGGAGATATTGCGCCCGTGACATAAAAGAAAATTAATCACCTCGTCAGTTCACTGATGAGTATAATCACATTCATATTTATTCAACATGTTTGTCGAGCAAATCAGCTCAATCAGACATATTTCGAGATCCTGAAATCCCAGTCAAACCTCTTGCACAGTAATTAAACCTCCATGACCCCAAATGTGCCAGAGTTTGGAATAGTGGTTTCACTTCCTGACATATTCACGTACAAACGCAACCAGATGTATGCAGAAAAATGTAAAAGTATAGAAATTTTTTCTTCCGAACTTAATTAGTTATTCGAAGGTATAAAGACCAAGATTGTGTGGCCTTTTGTGTGGTCGCAGTCTCCTTTCGTTGAATAGAAGTT